GAGGCTTCCTGGCCGTTTTGGTGAGCTGCTGGGCCCACCGAGAAGAGCAACGCAAGAGTCTCCCTGGCACAGCCATTCAAAGAGAGCCCAGGAGCCTGTCCCAACATAAAGTTGGCACACAGGCCTCGAAGCTTTTGAGCCCAATTTAGGGATGGGTCAGAAGCAGACCGGAGAAATTGCATCTCATCCTTGCTGTGGTTGTGGGCCTTTTAAGTAAGCCACCAATTTGGGGGTGGAGATTGGGGGGGCTATTTCTAAAATTCAAAAAGTGTAGTTGACTGGGAAGAGGACTTGCCAAAAGGCCACACTCGCTCATCAAGGGACTGGCATAGAGTTTTCTCCAGCAGCTTCTCTCGAAATGGGTTTAAAAGAGATTTATTTTCACCCCTTGTGGATTATGCTGATGAAGCAGGAGTGAGGTTTAAGGTGCATTCAAAAGGGAGCAGATGCACGGCAGCAAGCCTGACAGATATTCCTATGGCTTTGGAAATCTAGGGCAGTTTCAAAAGCCTCTCTTGATCTGACGGAGAGGCCCGCTATGGAAAAGGCTTGATCTTATTACTCTGTGTGTAAGAACGTTCCCAGGTACCTCCCATCCGACCTGGCCGTCCTCTTTTCGGACATTTCCAAGGGAGAAAGGTTTAAAAACAAGAGCAGCGGCTCCTCCAGGAAATGTTGGACAGAGAGAGCGGGGAAGTTACTTTTCCGGATTTCCACTCTTGACACTTGAGAACCCCTAAGGAACAGCGTTTGCAACAAATCAGTACAATTAAAGGACCGCCAACAACCACCCCGCCATTTCCCCTACCGGGTATGAGGAACCTCAAGCGACGGTGATAAGCCTTCTTTTTTTATAAACAAATGCTAGGCAAATTTCTGGTGGGGCTCAGAGGAGAGTAAAGTGAAAACTAGGGACAGAACTCAGGCAATGGAAGGCAGGGCAGATGATTAGTCTGGACGGGATGCTGGTGGCTCATGATGGAGCTGCCCTGGGTAGGATCCTGCCGTTTTTAAACTGGTGTCTGTGCCTTGTTTATCTCCTCGCTAAGCTTTACCTCCCAGACTTGTCGTGCAAATCGAGTTAAGCACACCTCTCTAAATGCTCATCCATCGCTCCCAGAAGCTTTTCAAGATCCCCACAATGCTATCTTTGCCGATCTTCAGAGAAGGACTTTCCTTCTCCTCCGTTTCTTTCCATTTTCATCGCACTGCAAACCCCGCGTAGAGACCTGTCTCTTGCTTTCTGCCAGCCAGCTAATTGTCCTCATTAAGAATAAATTTTCTCCTGACTTGTGATTGCGCGGCCCTTCGTTTTTTCACATGGGCAATCAAGCGAGAGACACAGGCGTTGTCTCAGGAGGAAGGCTTCTCGTAATCAGATCATTGGGAACACGGAAGCTTAGTGCCTTTTTCTGTAAAAAAAGGAGGAGGGATGGTGGGTGGCGGGGGGGGCGGGAGAGAGAGAGAGATCTTGGCTTTCTTTCTTTCTTTCTTTCTTTTTCTTTCTTTCTTTCTTTCTTTCTTTCTTTCTTTCTTTTTCTTTCTTTCTTTTCTTTCTCGTTGATAAAGTAGTCAGTCCTAGGCTGGAATCAGCCCTTCCCATCAAGGGTGCCTGAAGAAGGCTCAACGGCTCTTTACGTAGGGGACCGTCCTTCCTAAAACGGGGGTCCTGGCCCCCTCCCCACCATGGCTCCCTTTGCTTGTTGGGAAAACTCAGCAGTGGGCTAGAGGACTGGAAAAGATCAATCTACATCCCAATCAAAAAGAAGCCGGATCCAGAAAAGGCGACTCTTCCCCAGCTCGGGGCCCGTGGGCCCGTGCGCAAGTGCAGCCAGGCCTCATCCTGGCACAGAAGAGCCCTCGCAACACGGCAAGGGAGACGGGGGTGGGGAGGCCCTGCGACCAACCAGAGGCCGACTCTGTCCACCCATCTGCCCTGGACGGAGCCGCACGGCAGCTCCCAGCACGCAGGATTCGAGGGTGCAAGGCAGAAGCAGGCGCCGGGAGGTCGAGAGGCAACGCGCACCCCCCCCCGGACGCCCCAAAGCAACCTCTTTCCAACACAGCCTCTGCTCTTCTCGGAGCATTTGGGGAGTGGAAGGAGCTCAGAAAGAGTTTCCAGGGAAGGGCTGGCAGGGAGGGCCTTCCCGGTGAATCAGTGCCCTTAAATCCCTTGTAGACAGACAGACAGACAGACAGACTGATTGATTGAAGGGATATATCTTTATTTAGTGGATAGTTACTTTTGCCACAGCTGTCCTCTGTGGGAGATATAGTTACTGTGAAGAGACCACAGGCAAGAGCTAAGGGGGAGCCCGGCGCATGGATGGCCCTTGGGGGCTGAGGTGCCCTTTCATGCTCCTTTGCAGGTCATCCGGAAGCACTGAGCCAGTGGCTCCCGGCTCCTTCCATGGCGGCCGCTCCACATGGCTGCCGAGCCGATGCAACGCCCAGAACCCTCCAAGGGTCTCTATTCCAGCGAAACCAATAGAGAGGATCAGGAGCAAAACAGCAGAAACCGTGCGAGAGCGGAGAGAGGTAAGGCGACAGCCGGCTGGCTGACTTTGGCCGGCGTTCTTGGAATGCACGTCTATGTACCCTTTGCAGCCCATTAACTCTGCGCATCACCCGCACACTCCGGGAGCATCCCAAGGCTGAAGTCCACGCATCAACCCGCATGTCTTCACGATGCGCCTCAAAGCCTCCCCCCCCCATTCCTAGCGCTACAAGGCAGAAGGGTGTGGGGGGGAGTGGGTGCAGCAGCCGCCCCGCAGCCCGGCGGTTCTCTGGGCAAGGTGGAGCAGGGTCAAAGGGGCAGCTCCGCAGATGCTCCCCTGCTGCAGGGGTCCCTGGGCAGCGGACCATGTTGATCTCGTTAGTCAGTGGCGTGTGGGAGCAGCAGAAGGCTAAGCCGAGGTGAGGATGCTCGTCAGGCGGGGCTTGTGCAGCCGCTGGCACCGGCCCCCTGCCACCACCCATTGCAATGGGGCCACCCTAGACACGCACCATGTACATGCGCACACATACTGTGGGATAGACAGCAGCCCACCCCGGGGGGGGCGTGAGGTCTACCCAGCCCAGGGTCTGGATTGGACGCGCCTGTTCACTTCAAGGAGAGGGGCACTGGGTCGGCATGCCTGCTGCTGGCTTCCTCTTGGCCGGGGCCACCGCCCGCCTGCCCGGGTGGTGCTCGGTGTTCCTTGCCTGTTAGGATGATGACAGGCATGCACCCAATGCACCTTTGGCTTGGCCTGGGTGGATTCGGCTCCTCCTTCTCCGGGGAGGCCCCCCCAGAGGATGATCTCTCCCTCTGCCCAGTCCCAGCATCATGGCCTTGGGTGGTGGTGGGGGGCAAAGGTCAGCAGGCCCTTGGTGTCCAGCCCGTTTAGCATCATGGCCTTGGGTGGTGGTGGGGGGGGCAAAGGTCAGCAGGCCGTTGGTGTCCAGCCCGTTTCAGGGGGTCTCGGAAAAAGGTCAGAGCCTGGACGCCGCCCCCCCCACCCCGAAAGACCAGAACAGAAAGCC